AGTTGTCCTATAATTAGCCAGACACAGCAGTGTGTCTCAGTAAATGGCACGTTTAGTTTTCACTAGGTTTAAAAAAAAAAAAAAGAAGTTACTATGAAAGAATTGTAGAATGACCGTTAAAGGCCAACAAAAACTAAAAAGCAAAATCTTAATAATTCTTTAAAGGGCAGGAAAATCCATGAAGAAATATAAACCTGTTACTAACGTGAAAAGCGAGCAGAACTTCTGAAGCCGGGCTTTTAATAGTTGTGTTCGGGCCCCTGCTGGCTCAGCAGGAAAATGAAAGGGAAGCAACAGCCACCACCCTGAGTAAATACGCCGCTCTTTCTCTTCCTCCATTCCAAATTCCACAGCTTGCTAAACACACTCAAGTTTAGCTCTCAGTAAGTTGCGTGGTTTCACAGTGATCCTTTTGGGTATTTCTATCGCAGATGGAGAAATACTGCGTGATTCAACTTACATGAAGTGTCTGAAATAGTCAGACTCACAGGCACAGAGATCAGAATGGTGGTTTCCAGGGGCTGGGTGTGGGGAAGGGGCTCGGGGAGTTAACTGTTCAAGTGGTATGAAGTGTCAGTCACGCGAGATGAGTATGTTCTAGAATCTGCCGTACACCACTGTGCCTGCAAGTCAACGGGACTGAATCGTACGTTTCAGAATTTGTCCAGAGAGTCAATCTTCTGTTAAGTCTTCTTAACACAATAAAATATAAATAAAAATAAGGGCGATATGGTGGGTTTTCCATAAAGCTAAATTTGTTCTGAATTGGTGCCTTTTCTGGTGTCGGCTGTTTAAAAACTAAAGGTACTCGGCAATGAATTTTTCTTTTCTTTTTTCTGTTTTTAACATCACTACTTAACAAAATAAAAAGTTAAAAATTCTGAGCAAGGGGAGCATCTCCTGCTTTGAAAGGCACAAGGCTTTTGCATCAGGAAAGGTGGACCAAGCAGAATGCGGCCTCACCTGGTGGCTGAGAGCGTGGACTCTGGAGCAGATGCTCCAGGCCCCGCCTCGCCTCTGCCTCTTACAAGCCTTGAAACCTGGGGAAATTGCTCAGGCACCCTGGGAAATGGGAGTAGGACCACATGGGGCTGCTTTGAGGACGAAATGAGTTTATCCCTGTAAGAAACTTATAAAATGGCCAGACTCTCGCACATGACAGCCATGACAGATGTCCTGTGACACTGCATACTTTTGCTTCTGCTTGAGAAGCTGACCTCTCCTGATGGGAAATGGAACCGGAGGGCTTATATCCACTAGTCAGGAGTCCTCCCACCAGCGTTTTAGTTTCCTATCCTGCCAAAACAAGTGACTACAAATTTACTGGCTGAAAGTAATACAAATTTATATTCTCTTAGACCCCCGTAGGTCGCAAGTCTAAATCAAGGTGTCAGCAGGGCTGCATTCCTCTCTGGCGGCTCCAGGGGAGAATGTATTTCCCCCCTCATTCAGGCTGTTGACAGAATTTGTTTCAGTTCCTTGTGGTTGTAGGGTCAAGGTCTGTTTTGCTGGCTGCCAGCTGAGGCCTGTTCCTAGCTGCTAGAGGCTGCAGCTTTCCTTGGCTCACAGCCCTCTTCCTCCATCTTCAAAGCCAGCCACTGCAAGTTGAATTCTTTTCATGTCCCATTCTCTGACCCTGTCTTCTGCCTCCCTCTCTGTCGGAACCCATGTAATAATGCAGAATAATCTTCCTATTGGAAAGTCAGCTGAGAGCAGCCTGAACCTCCATGCCACGTAAATTCACCTTTGCCACGTAAGGTAACACAGTCACACTTCTCAGCATTAGGATGCAGACATTTTGGGGGGAGGCTTGATTCTGCTTACCTTAGCCAGTGAACTAGGATATCACTGGGGTTTTTAACAGGTCATTTATCCTTACTTTTATTTCTTCGTCCTAAAGATACGTGATCTTTTACCTAGGATAAATAATGTTTATTGAGTACTTGCTGTGAGCTCGGTCTTGGGTGCTAAACTTTTTGTTTACAAAGAGTCTGTGGCAGGTTCTCTTATTATCCCCATTTTGTGAACGAAAAAACTGCATTTGGGGAAGTTAAGTAGTTGATCAAGATAATCAACTGGTGAGGGGCTCAGACATTTCAGTGGGCTGGTATCCCTCAGAGGTTTGTCTGGAAATCCCTCTTCACATGGCAGGGCATACTAATTAGAAGTAAATGTTTGGACTAAAACAAGTGTTTTGATTTTGCTAATAGAAACTATCATTCATATTCATGGCTGTGGTAAGAAAATAAATTTTTCTTCTATAGCCTAGCCAAATTGACACATAAAACGAGCCATCATAGCGCTATTTACCTCATTCCTCTAGCCCTATATAGTCCAATATGGCAGCCACCGGCTCTTGAGTTCTCGAAATATAGCTAGTCTGAATTGAGGTGTGTGCTGTACATGTAAATTCACAGCAAACTTAGAAGACACCGTACAAATAAAAAGAATGTTAATTATCATTATTTTTATACTGATTATATGTTGAAATATTAGTATTTTAGATATATTGGGTTAAGTAAAATGTATTAATTGTTAAAAAACAATGAAACCTGGGCACCTGGGTGCCTTAGTTGGTTGCGCTTCTGACTCTTGATTTCGGCTCAGGTCATGGTCTAAGGGTCCCGGGATAGAGCCCTGTGCTGGGCTCCATGCTCAGTGGGGAGTCTGCTTGAGATTCTCTCCCCTTCCTGCTCCTCCCCCCACTGACACACACTCTCTCTCTAAAATAAGTAAATCTGAGAGCAGTCACCCCACCTGGGCTCCCCTAAATAAATCAGTCCTAAGAAAAAGTGAAACCTGATAGACATGAAAATTAAATTATAAGGAGAATCAGTTATAAAATATTTCAAATACAACTATCTGAAAAATACCCCCCAAAGTTAATTTCTGGCTTTTGTACTTAATCACAGTCTGTCTTTTGAAGTTGGAGAATTTCTTTTTTTTTTCTGAGATCATGGCAGTTTCTGCCAAGAGAGATCTGATTTGTAATAGGGTGGATGGGCTCAATATTTCTTTAGTGAGATATTTGACTGTCATGTTTTGTTATACTATAAGTGATATGTAACCAAACAAGAAAAATTTCCTAGCAACAGAGTTGTTTTCCTCAACCAGAAGAATATTTTATATGCCCATTTTCTGAATGTCCAAAAGATTAAAAAAAGCTTATGAATTTAGCATCTTATATTTCTGAGATCGAGATGCTGGTGAATATGGATAATAGAATATATAAGAATATCATTAGAAGTACTTGATAAGCATTACATTAAGGTAATTCACACCTAATATATTTAACTAGGTAGAGAACTATATGGCTTTTATGATGGACCCAGTTGCCGGACATGGTTATCGCACTTACCTTCATAAATGAAGCCTCTTTTTATTTTTATCTCTTTTTGTTCTTCATTAATTGCATACCCGAACATTTTTTTTAACCCTCATCAGATCTCTAGGTTCTGTTGCATTTCATTTGTTTATTCAACAAATGTTTAAATACCATGTGCTTAGGAGGTCCTAGGGATATTGTGCCCTCACAAAGCCTATATATTAGTAAATGATTCAGCTTATATATTAGTAAATGAATGGAGGAATTCTACAAATCAGGAAGCACGTGAGTGCTGTGAATGTGAATAAAAGGTTCTCATCTAAATTGAAGGACACATGATGGGAAAGCCTTGATCTGGAGGATGAATAGCATTTAGCCAGGCAGAAAATGGGATTTACCAGTCTAGGTCAAGGGATATATTTTGCGAAGTTCTCATCCTAGGAAAGAGTTTGGCCGGTTGGAAAAGCAGCAGCAAGAAGGCCTCTGGGTGCGTTTGTGTTTGTGATTGTGGCTCTCAAGGAATACAGTAAGGCACACGGTACTGAGTCCCGTAGAGAGAACTCTGTTGAGAGCAAGTAGATGTGGGTGTTGTGTGATGATCTGCCAAACAATACACAGGGCCTTGTTCCCCACAACTTCATCATCAAGTGGATGTGGTCTGGAGATAGGGTAACCATATAATTTATCATCCAAGTCAGGATATGCTTGAGAGTGAAAGGGGGTGCTGTTAATTATACTGGGACAGTGGGTATAAACCTGTATAACTTGGGCATGCCGGGATATATGATCACCATGCTTACAGACCAGTTTTCAGCCACTCCGATAAGCCTGGAGTTGCCTAGAAACCATGCTCTGAAATTACAGGGTTGGTTATATGTTCCTGCTTTCTCACTACACCCCCTTCACCCATGGATAACTGCAAGAAGGCCACCAGGAGAACCTGCACCTAGTCTAGACCATGGGATCCCAGCCCTATTCCCCGCTTAGCTACAGCCTACTGTTTTTCTGTTGCCATCTTGTGAGAGTTCATCTCCTTGGTGGATATCAGTTCTTACTAACATGTTTTCGGAATTACAGTATTGAAAACATATAGGGAGGAAAGTAAAGCCTTCAACCTTTACCGCATGAACTTTTCCTACTAGAAACTTTACTGCATCACTTCTGGTAGATGACATGACCTAATTACACGTTCCCAGATGGTGGCCAGACAGAATGGGTGTGGTCCAATTATAACCTTTTTCACAGTAAACATGTTTTGTGATTTGGCCCCTATGGTGGATGATACACAGAGAAGAACAGCTTTATTCTTTATTTTTAATTTAAAAAAAAATTCTTTAGCTTTGGCAGCAGCATGAAGTAGCAAAGAAATCTTCACTTTTGGATTTTTTTTTTTAATAGAATCAGCTGTTTGGCTGAATCTCTGTGGTCAGGATTAATGGAGCTTTAGTTCCTGCTCTTCTCCGTGCCTAAGTCACTGTCTACAGCAGGGCCCTCAGGGAGCCCTCGTAATTCCTTCAGTTAACTGAGAAATGGGTCAGGTTGCGTTATAAGAATATTTAATGTTGTATTCAGCCAAATACTGAAGGTGGGCATGCTGAGACATTCCAGTCTTTCTTTAGAAGCATCACTATTTCTTTTTAAACTGTATTAATATTCTTAATTTTTGTTTTATAAGCCAGGAAATGTGAAGAATTCACCTGGAAATAAATAGAATGCTGCATGCTCTGCCCATTTTAATCAGGTAAAGAACAAGAGAATTCTCTAGTCTTTTTTAAGCCTTGTTAGTACCAGCTGAAATGGCTTGTTCTTGATTTAACTCAATTAATTATAGCGGTTTCAGCTTCATGTAGATCCCTTAGGGCCAGTGTGATGTTTCATTCCATCTTTAATTTGTGGATTTAGGTGCCTTCACTTGTTTGTGTCCATTCCTGAGAAGTTCCTTTTTAGACAAGCTAGAACTTGGCAGTGGGGATTTGCCTACAAAACTGTTTCAAACAATTGAAAAGTGCCATTATTTCTTAGGTTTGTGTTTTTTTCAAATAACACTTTACTATTGTAGGCATCCTTGTATTCATCTGATAGTCATTAAATAAACATTTGTCCAATGAGTGATGGTTGTAGAGAAGCTCAAGATTATATGGAAATATTATCATAAGTGCCATAGGGAATTCATAGGTGTAATTATTCTTTCTTTAAAGATTGAGTTACCTCAGGCTAGAGGAATTTAGGATACCAGATGAAGTCAGAAAATCGGTGTGATTTCTTCTGCTCTTATACTCGATTCACTGTCTTCATTCATTTGTTCAGTATTTACTCATGAGTACCAGTTAAGTACCAAACACTAGTTATATTAATGTTAGTTTGTGTATATATTAAAAATGCTATAATAGCACTTGTGATTTCCTGATAAGATTATGTTGAGTTTGGAAATAATTAAATATTGAGCTACAAAAAGTGGCTTAATTCTGGCGTATCTATGAACAGGAATGTTATTATATTTCAGTAATATTTAATTGCACGGAAGCTCGTTAAATGAAAAATCAAGGTAGTATGGTACGTTTTGAGAAAGAATAAAGACCAGGAAATACAACAAAAAATTTAATTATATATCTCGGTATAGTAGAATTATGGATTTTTTTAATAGTTTTTGTTCTATATAGCTTTCTATATTTTAAAATATTCTGCAGTGCATATGAATTTTATAGTCTTTTTTTAAATCACTGCTACATTTAGTGTAAACTGTGACTTCTATTTACAATCCATGAAAGCCTTCAGTGTGAGGTTTTTTTTTTTTCTCAAGCTGTCTGCAAATTTTTAGGGATGCAGAGAGTCATATAGTCTTAGAATTTGAGAGGGGTCCTCTGGCCCCCCAGCCAGCCTCAAGCATAAATACCCTGTTGCCCTGTGTGTTCTCACTTTTCATCTTCACTGATAGGCACCTCCCCCCACAGGGCAGCCATCTTTGAACGGTTCTGATTTTTAGGAAGCCGTTTCTTATACTAAGCAAAAATATGTCTTTTTGTAACTCCGATGCAGTGGTTCTGATCCTGCCTTAAGGGTCACAGAAAACAAACCCAGATCCTCTTTCACATCTCAGCCCTTCCTATGGTAGCCCCGAGTCATTGCTTCTCAAATTTTATCATACAACCAAATTATTGCAGGAGCGTGTTAAAAGACAGAGGCCTAAGCTCCACCCCCAGAATCAGCATCTCTGGAGAGCCAGTTCAGATGCATACCGGGTGGATCTGCTATTGGAAGAGAGACTAGAACTTGAGCAGCCAGGAAACCACATGTGTCCTCCAGAAACTTGACATTGAATATATTATGTTTCGCTGCAGGGACAATGAGACTTGGAATACAGGGAAACTACATAAATATCTATTTCCTCTTTCCAAAATACTCTGGGCCAGGGTTCAGCTTACTGTATATACAACCTTGATTTCATTCTTCACTTTTTTACTTCTCTGTTGGAGATGGAGTTTTCAACTATAAAAGCGATACGTATTTGTTGTAAAGAAATTTTTTTACGGGTGCCTGGGTGGCTCAGTTGGTTAAGCAGTTGACTTTGGCTCAGGTCATGATCCCAGGGTCCTGGGATCCAATCAAGCCCTGTGGCCGGCTCCCTCTTCAGCGGAGAAACTGCTTCTCCCTCTGTCCCTGCCCCAACCCCCGCTTGTGCTCTCATGCTCTCTCTCAAATAAATAATAAAATCTTTTTGAAAGGAAATTTTTTAAGATAAATATTTTCAGTTTGTCTAGTCCTCTGTTCCTTTCTTATGGTTAATTTCTGTTAATAGTTTGACATACCATTCCAGACTTTTTTCTCTGTGTGTAAATGTGTGCACAGCCATACCTTCTTTTGTTTTTTTGACAGAATGAGCTCATATTCCTAGAATTGTTTTGTAAGTACATTGAAACCTCCATGAGGGAACATATCTCAATTTTATTATCACACCCAAAGAAATTAACACTAATTGTTTAATATCATTTCATATTTAGGTAGTATGCAGATTTCCCTGATTGTCTTTTTGTGTTTGGTTTTTTTGAATCAGGATCCAAACAAGATCTTCCCATTACATTTGACTGATAGGTCCCTGAAGTCCCTTTTAAACTGTAATAGTTCTTTCTCCTTCATTTTCCCCTTGCCATTCATTTTTTGAAAAACAGGCCTATTTATCCTTTAGAAGATCCCACGTTCTGGCTGTGGCTGAGTACATCCATTTAGTGTCATTCTATTTACCTCTTGGTTCTTCTCTTCTCTGCATTTTCTGTAAACAGATAGTTAGATCTGAAGGCTCCATCAGATTGAGGCTCAGTTTTGGTAAGCATACTTCATAAGGCAGTACTGTCTTTAGCTGTGTCGAACAAATGAAATAACTTGCCTTTTTTCCACTTAATTTCTTACGTGCATCTTATTCTCTCAGTACTTAGAGGTCTATCTCATTCCTCCTCTTAGCTGCTGCTTAATAATTTCCTAGTATGGATTCCCATGGCCTATTTAATCCTTATCAATATAGGTCATTTCCACTTTGCAGTTTTAACAAAGCAGTAAATGTATTGAATTCTTAGAGACGTCCTAAAGAGATTAATAAACCAAAATGGAAAAGGTAAGCTAGAGGTTTACATGTTTAACTTAAGAAGTTTTGGTTTTATACTAAAAGATATATTTGTATCTAAAACCGTACCTCTAAAATGTTGGTAAACCTCTAATTGCCAAGTAGATTCTTTACATCTTGGGAAGAGAGCAATCTGGAGAAGAATTCCTTTGTCTTTGATATGTCTTTGGATAGTGTGTGTTCCACTCCAGAGAAGAATAGTGAGGTGATATGAGGACAGGTATACGCCAGCCTGACAGTGATGTAATCACACTCTCTTCTTCAGCAGATGGACGGAAATGTAGTTGTTTGGTTTTTCATTAAGGGGAGAGTTGTGTGCGCTGTGCCATTTAAGCATTTATTGTGTATTCATCCATCCGTCTGTTTAATTATGCTCAGGTACACAGCCAGTTGAGAATCTGAATGTAGTTTGGATGCAACACAAAACCTTCCTGCTTTGTAGTTAAGTGTCTGTAAAATAGAAATAATTACAGTTTTCTCTGGCGCACGATGGTCCTTATGGTCATAATAGTAATGTAAATATTTGATATGGTTTCTCAATTTAGCCCTAATGAATTTTCAAAAAACAAAGTTTTAGAGTCTCTTTTTTTCCCCCGGTAGTTTACTTACGGCTTTCTTTTTCTTTCAGTTATAGGTAAACATTGGAAACTCCATGCGGTAAACCAATATTTCTACAGAAAAATGGCAGAGAAGTCAGTACCGAATGTAGTAAATTGGTTTTCTTCTTCAGGATAAACTATGCTAGGCTTCTTTGTTATCTTGGGTGATACCATACTACAAGTGGACTAATTGGAAATCCTTTCACCTAGAGAGAATGTCTAGCCTTAGAACTCATTCTCATGTTGCTATTTATGTACATAATTAAAATTCCAAATTAAAAAAAAAAGTTGCTTTGCTTTTTTTTTAATGTTCTTAAGTGACAGCTGAAGCCTATCGGGTGCCCACGTGTGTGGTATGTCTGAGTGTACGTGTGTGTGTGCACGCACGTGCATGTGTGAAAGAAAACCGTTAACTCCCCCCAGGGCAGTTCCAGCTGGCGGTTTGCACGGCACAAAGCCCCCGAGAGTTGAGTCAAGCAGAGCGGCTCCAGAGCTGAGACACAAGGCTTCACCGGCCAGTGTGAGAACGTAACTCGGAAGTAATAGCTGGCCCGACAGCGATGAGAAGACCTACGAAAGGAAACAGTCACCATGACCCCTTGTTGTGTTCCGTTGCCTCCCAGCTTAAACAGATCTTCCGCTTCTCGCATGCTGGTAGGAGATGTGTGATGAAGCAGCCCGGCCTCGCCAGTGGAGGAACGGTATGTGGTCGTGTGTGTTAGTTCTGTGCATGTCGGCCGTGTGTTCATGTTTGTGGCCCCTGGGTGCACGGCTCGTTGAAATTTGTATTTTCAGTGCTGGTGGGAACGGCAGGAGCCCCCTTTGATACATCAGCTAGCGAGGGAAGATGGCAGGGGAACAGCATGTGAAAGAGAATTGAGAATTTCCTAATTGCAGTCGGATTGGAAATTAAAAGTTGTCTTTGTCTTCTTGTAGTGTCACTTTATTTTTTTTAATATTTTATTTATTTATTTGAGAGAGAGAGAGAGAGCATGAGCGAGGAGAAGGTCAGAGGGAGAAGAAGACTCCCTGTACTGCTGGGAACCCGATGCGGGACTTAATCCCAGGACTCCAGGATCATGACCTGAGCTGAAGGCAGTTGCTTAACCAACTGAGCCACCCAGGTGCCCTGTAGTGTCACTTTAATTCTGAATTGTTGACCTTCCAGATTGGATAGCATTTGGTAAGACAGCATGGCACAAATGGAACACACTCATGTTCACGTTCACCACATTTGATGGAGCCAGAATGGCCAAGAATGTTGCCGGCATTATCACCGGACTAATGAGCTGAAGCAAATTTGTCCCAAGAGTAATCCCTCCCCATAGTGACCAAGAAATCTTTATTTCCTTTTTTGCTGAAATACTTTTGTGTTAACTGTGCCAGTCATCCAGATATATTAAAGCTGTGCCCTAAATGTAACATCTCATAAATGTACTGTTGTTATTTCAGGGTTTTCCCATTGGCTTGGCTTATCACGCCCCCGAAAGTAGAAACCACAAGTTTCCTCATCCTCGAGAATGCTTGACCTGGAGAAGATGAAGAAATGGCTCTTGAGATCACCTGTAAGGTATTACTTCCCATTTTTAACCCTTTATTCCATATTGAACTTTGCCTTAAAAACCTCTTAAATCCTCCCAGTGGGGTGGTGGGGTGGGGGTCACAGAGCCGGCTCGGAGTCGTACGTGGCCTGTATTTAGGATAGCAAGGTCATCACTTTCCAACCCGGCTAACTCAGTTACTCTTTATACTATAATCCTTTCCTTCCGTGGTGATTTGTATCCAGTGTTGCCTGCCTTTTACATGTATTACCCTTTGCTTGCCTTCCATGAACCCCGAACTGTAGGGAATATAAAATTTGCATATTTTAAGATCTTGCATTTGTCCAGCTCTTTATACTTTTCACAGTGCTGGTTGATATCTTTCCTTTCTTGGCTTATTCCTGACCTCAGTACATTTGTACTCTGTTTTTCTCTGTCCTGAGGTAATTACTTTCTATTTATGTTTATACTTTTTATGCTGTTTTTTTATGACCAGTTCCTCTTATGATAAAACTGTGACTCTCGGTTCAGTTTATCTGGAACTTAATCAGCACAATTCTATTTGAATAAATTTAGAGACTTTGGAGGGAATGTTCTCTACCATAGAGTGATTTAAGGTGCTCAGAAGAGACAAATGTGATGTGGTCTGTTCTGGGCTAATGTGGTAGTTGGAGTCCTAAGAAAGATTGCTTTATCACAAATCAAGATTATAAAACAATTGATTTAAATGGGGAAAAAGAGACCAGAGATGCTAAAGAATCCCTTCATCAATTTTATCAACTGTGTGGCCTCTTGGGACAAAATTAAAACAACAGTTGCAGATAGAAGAACCGAGGCGAGCTGAGGACCGCCCACCTTGTCCATACAGTAACAGGTGCCGGGGCCACCGGGTTAGCTTTTATTGTAAACGCACTGCTGGATCCCAGTGCACATGTGGCCCCGGTACTCCCAAGGACTTCCCTAATGGATCAACGACATTAGATTCAAGTGGCCTACAAGAAATTCAAAATAAGGTAAAATGCTTTAGTTCACATATACAGATGAAATAATGTGACTTGTTTGCAGTTAAATAGCCAACCAATGACAGTTAAAATTAGGCCATGTGGTGAATATTGCTGATTTTTATTCATTTAAGGATAAAGTTCAGAATCCTTGAATTCAGTGAAAAAAAGATTATGTTCTCCTCATTGTCCTATATTAATGAATGCACTTTGCACTCATTTTCTGGGAAAGGTTTGCTATGTAGAGAAATACTTTTCATTGTGACCAGCAGTATTCATGCTTTTATATAAGCTGGACATTGTACCATGAGTGAGTATAAACATTGTCACCTTTTAATTTAATGCACCCACCCAATCTAATGCAAAAACTTCTGTCAGAGGAACCAGTAATATTTTTGTGGGACTAAATTCTCATGCAAGGCTTAATTTAAATTAAAGGTAAATATTGGAAATAAAAGGAATCTAAACTGGTATGGAAGAAGCAAAATTCACTCTTTGCAGATGACAGGATACTATAAATAGAAAACCTTTGGGATGCCTGGGTGGCTCAGTCTTTGGGCGGCTGCCTTCGGCTCAGGTCGTGAACCCAGAGTCCTGGGATTGAGTCCCGCATCGGGCTCCCTGCTCAGTGGGAGGCCTGCTTCTCCCTCTCCCACTCCCTCTGCTTCTGTTCTCTCTCTCACTGTGTCTCTCTCTCTCAAATAATTAAATAAAATCTTTTTTTAAAAAAGGAAATAAAACCTTTAAGACTTAACCAAAAAACTACAAGATAAATGAATCCAGTAAAGTCTTAGGATACAGTATCAATGTACAGAAACCCGTGGCATTCCTGTATGCTAAAAATGAAGCAGCAGAAGGTGAAATTAAGAAAATCCCATTTATAGTTGCACCAAAAACAATAAAATATCTAGGAATAAACTTAAGCAGCTGAAAGTCCTGTCCTCGGAAAACTATAAAACACTGTTGAAAGAAATTCAAGATGGCATAGAGAAATGGAAAAGACAGTCCGTGCTCATGGGTTGGAAGAATTGGGTTGTCTGTACTACCCAGGGCAGTCCACATATTTAGTGAAGTCCCCATCAAAATACCAACAGCCGTTTTTCATAGAACTAGAAAAAACAATCCTAAAATGTGTATGGAATCACAGAAGACCTCAAATAGCCAAAGCAATCTCAAAAAAGAAAAACAAAACTGGGGGTATTACAAGTCCAGGTTTCAAGTTATATTACAAAGGGGTAGTCATTAAAACGGTATGGTACTAGCATAAAAATAGACACATAGATCAATGGAATAGAACAGAAAACCCAGAAACAAGCCCACAATTATATGGTAAATTAATCTTCAACAAAGGAGGAGTAAAGATACAGTGGGAAAGAGTCTTTTCAACAAATGGCGTTGGGAAACTTGGACAGCTACATGGAGAAGAATGAAACTGGACCACTTTCTTTCACCACACACAGAAATAGACTCAGAATGGGTTGAAGACCTAAATGTGAGGCCTGAACCCATAAAAGTCCTTCAGGAGAGCACAGGCACTAATTTTTCATACATGGGCTAGAGCAACATTTTTCTAGATATCTCTCCTGAGGCAAGAGAAATAAAAGCAAAAATAAACCTTCAGGACTACCTCAAAATAAAAAGTTTCTGCATAACGAAGGAAATAGTCAACAAAACTAAAAGTAACCTACAGAATGGGAGAAGATATTTGCAAATGACGTATTTGGTAAAGGGTTAGTGTCCAAAATAAACAAAGAACTGATAACAGCTCAACACCCAAAAAACAAATAATCCAATTAAAAAATGGAAGACATGAATAGACACGTTTTTCCAAAGAAGGCATCTAGATGGCCAACAGACATGTGAAAAGAAGATCATTGTCAGTCATTATCAGGGGAATACAAATCAAAACCACAATGAGATATCAGCTCACACCTGTCAGAGTGGCTAAAATGAAAAACACAAGAAACAACAAGTTTTGGCAAGGTTGTGGAGAAAAAGGAAACCTCATGCACCATTGGTGGGAATGCAGACTGGTGCAGCCCCTGTGGAAAACAGTATGGAGGCTCCTCAAAAAAATAACAATAGACTACCTATGATTCAGTAATTGCTGTCCTGGGTATTTATTCCAGAAGTGCCAAAACCGTAATTCAGGGCAATACACGCACCCCTATGTTTAGAGCAGCATTATTTACAATGGTCAAACTGTGGAAGCTGCAGAGGTGTCCCATCAATTGAGAATGGGTAAAGAAGGGACATATATTTTATATGTATGCATATACACATATATGTGTGTGTGTAATGGAATATTATTCAGCCCATAAAAAAGAATGAAATTTTGCCATTTGCAATGACATGGATGGAGCTAGAGAGTATTAACGCTAAGTGAAATAAGTCAGTCCGAGAAAGACAAATATCATATGCTTTCACTCATAATGTGGAATTTAAGAAACAAAACAAACAAGCAAAGAAAAAAGACAAACCAGGGAACAGTCTTGACTATAGAGAACAAACTGATGGTTACCAGAGGGGAAAAGGGTGGCAGAATGGATGAAATAGGAGATGGAAATTAAAGAGTATACTTATCATGACAAGAAAAAAAATGATAAAAGAAATAATGGTTTCGTTCACCATGAGCTGAAAGTTGCTTGCGGTCTTGGTTTTCACCCTGTACACCGCCTGTCTGATGTTTTGTTTCCCTTTTGATAGGTTCACATTTCAAGTCCACAGTTAGCTAGCACATAGTTC